GTGATAGGGCAATAGGCTCTCATCAGTGCCATAGCTGTCTCTTATACACATCTAGATGTGTATAAGAGACAGAAATAGTCCGCACCTGACCACAAGACCACAATAACATACAACCAAAAAATCAATGAGAAAAAAAAAAGATTTCGACGAGTGGTTGGATGCACGCAGAGGCCAAGTCCCACTTACCCGGATTCTTCATTTTCGGTCGTTGATCTCGGGAACAGATAAAAAAGGGACAAATATGAGTGTTACGTGGGACTTATTGTATATATAATTGCTTTCTTAGAGGTCCCGATCGTGCCGATGAATGACTTGGGATGGAATATTTCACTTTCACTATGGGAAAAAACAAAACCCTTGGGTTGGCGAATGCTATGATGGGCATCTACTTTCCTAAGGAGGGCCTAGCCACACCACTATCGAAACGAAAAAGAACGAATGCATCTGCCCCAGAAAGTGGTCGGAGGCATCCGTTGCTATTCATAGTAAAGGATGCAGATTGTCACGCTCTGCGCGAAGATGCACTACAACTTTTTTCGTTTCGACAGTGGTGTGGGGAGGCCCTAAGACTTTAGGCCCGAATCGCCCGCCGCCCGCCGGAGGCCACTATGGGAGTTGCCGATGAGTGGATGTGGAACGGACAGAGATCCCGAGCGAAGTGACTTTCAAAAGAATGTCCATCACAGCCACAAACTGACGACTCGTTCACGTACAGATTGGAACGACGCACAAATCGACAAACTTTTTTTTTTTTTTTTTTTTTTTTTTTTTTTTTAATCGACAGACTTCGGACCCACGAGGCTTTAGAAAAAAGGAAAAATAAATTATTTTGAGACGTCACCGGGGGCAAGGTCCCACTTGCGCAAATTAGGAGATTTTGGCCGTTGATCTTTGTTATCTACGGTCAGTATCTCTTAATCCGTGCAAGTGGGACCTAACCCTGGAACAAGTCCGTGGCGCGGTGGGTCGAAGCGAAGGACACCGACTAGGCACCAAAACCGAGTGGGCACAGGTATAACGCTCGGAAACGACTATCGAGTACCGAAAACAGTATGCTTCGGCTCAGCGTCCATTCTATCAAAGGTCACATCGAGCGTCAACAACGTTTTAGATGTTTTGTAGTCGCTTCACAGACACGCCACTCCATCTTTTTGTCCTTCGTTTTCTTCTTTTTTTGGGAAAATTGCATCTCCACCCCACTTATAGATGTGAATGGTCGATAGTTCAGTGGGTGGAGCACCCGTTGGAAATGTGCGTTGTCGTATAAGATTGCGGGTGCAAAACTCCATAGCCAGCGCATGGACACTGACGGGCTTCCACAACCCTTCACACACTCCCTTTGGGTTGACGCATGGTAATTATGATAGACACTGCTGCATACCACCCAAGGGGTTTAGTCCATGGTTGTAATATGCTGGTAGCGGGCCTTGGGAGAGGGTTGTTTGAGTGGTTGGCCTTGGGGTGGTCCGACGAGTGTGTGTGTGTGTGTGTGGTCCAACAATCTCCGGGTCATGTCTTGTGTACTCACCATGGCGGGGGGGTAGAGGAGTTAGGTTGGGTTAGGTCTTAGGTCTAGATTAGGGTAGGTAGGCATTTGTGCAGAGATTGTGGGCCTCTCTCTGTGCGCAGCCTCGTTCGTTTGCACTGCTTCATGAGTGTATCATGGGTATGTCTCGGTACCGTAGTAGTTTCTGGCCTCATGGTACACCCATGAGAGTCCATACTTACATTGTACGATCCTGGTCCCGGTCCCGGTCCAGCTCTGCTCTCTACATCCCCCTTTAGTAGTGGTAAGAGTTGGGTGTTAGGCATATGTGATTCCCAAGTATGGGCCTCCTGTCTATCTTTTGATGCTTGCGGCCTGGGCTTCATCCAGACCGGTACCTCTTTGCGTTTCCATTCAGGGGTCGATTGGGGCATGAATCTGGGGAAGGGTCTCTGGGTAGGGGTCTCGTCTTAGGCAGGGGAGGGTGTGTCATCACATTGATAGTAAAAGGGTGGTAGACACCCATAGAGTCTGCTTGATGTGATACAGGTGGGGAATGACCACATCATGTATGTGACCCCTCCTGTGTTCGGGTCGTCCTCGATAATTCAGGGTGTCCATATGGTAGCGCCCGGGGGGGGGCTCATTTGATACCCTTGAAGGCGCGGGTTGGTATAGGTTTAGGTCTACAGATAGGTCTGGGTCACACCGCTGTAGGGGTAGATCATCCTTGGGGCTGTCACAAGCCATCCGATCTCCCCACTGGTCGAGTACAACGACAGGCACCTCTCGAGGCCTAGCATCCAGCCTCTACTAAGATCTGACCTTTCTCTGTAGAAGCCAAACGAGACTTTGTTCCCTCTTGGGCCCAGGACGCAGCACAGGCCAGTGCGACGTTTTTGTAGTTAGTAGCGAAGCTTTTGTTTTTGTCGCTACTTCTTTTGGCAATGCTTTTGAGTATGCCCATGAGTCTTCTTTTTGGGGGGGTTCACTTCGTTGGGCACGTTTCGCGGATGTTGGAAACACATGGCAGACTTTGTCCTTCACCCATTCCTTGATTTATCAAGTTTTACTGTATGAATTATAAAAATCTATATAAGTAAATCATACAAATATTTATGAATTTATCTAGGCTACCAGTCGGGCCGCCTGGGTCACCTTGTTTGCCCGGGAGGCCTGATCGGGCAAGGGCTAAAGAAGGTCCCAAAAAAAAAAAAAAAAAAAAAAAACTGAAATACAACTATGTTATGCAAAAGAAAAAAAAACTTTTTTTTTATTTAAAAAAAAAAAATGATAAAACGAGGAAACGGGCCCGACGTCCCTCACATGAATTCCGTAGCCAAACCAGGCTGGGAGAGGCACTTTCGGCCAGTCCCATCCCCAACCACGGACCTCCCATAGTGAAGATGCTTGTCTTTAACCCATCATATGTAGATCTCTGGTTACAAACCCTAGTCTATGTTAATACTAAAGTGGAATTTAATCCTATTTCAATATATCGATTAATTCTTTATTATCCATATGTAAAAACAACCACACAAATTCCTGACCTATACCCGATGCAATTACCGAACTCCCACAGTGAAGACTCCTGTCTTCTGCCCGTCCCGTGTAGATCTCTAGTTACAAACCCTAGTCTATGTCAATACTAACGCGGAGTTTAATCCTATTCCAATGTATCGATTAATTCTATATTATAGTTACAAACCCTAGTCTATGTTAATACTAACGTGGAATTTAATCCTATTCCAATGTATCGATTTTTTTTTTTTTTTTTTTTTTTTTTAAACACCCGGGTATTGCTTGCGGTGCTGATATCATCAGACGCCGCTAGCACTCCAGGCAGGCTCCATCTATTGGTGGGGAGCAGCACCTGCTGGAAACCAGGTCCAGAGTCCCTTACATTTGTAATAAACAGACATAAGGAATCATGAGATAGTGTGTTGGAAACTGGGTCCAGCGTCCCATTGTAACCGTCCTGTTCTATCCACCGCCAAGGTCTTGGGTTGGGGCTCAGCAGGGCCACTGGGGGGCACCAAAGGTCCCTGTCTGTTCCCAACCCGCCTTCCATGTCACACTGCCGCACTATCTTTTGAGAATGTCTGGGATGTTTGAAATGTGTGAAAAGTCTGAGAAGTCTAAAAGAAACTGAAAAACAACTAAGGGTACCAACTAAGGGTACCAACTAAGGGTACCAAAAAAACAACTGATAAACAGCCGAAGGTTTGAACCAACTGAGAATGTACTGAAGGCAGGGATAAAAAGGGGTAAGCAAGGATAAGCAGGGGTAAGCAGTGCTGGCCTCAATCCGTTAACCGGATCTCATACAACCGGTAGTATTTCTTCCAAGGCCAGCTGGTGGGGTGGGAAAGGGTTTGCGAAGTCCTGAGCCGGTCGCAGCGGGGTACCTGGATCAATCGTGGTCCAGTCATGAAAGATCAGTTGGTAGTCTCGTACCATTTCTGTCCGGGGTTCTCCATGTGATTCCCTTTCAGGTTGGCGGCCGGTCCATTTCACTTCGGCCACCCAACCCTCCCTCTCTTCGCCCAACCAGCTCTTGTTGAAGAGATGATCCTGTTCATATCCCCCCAGGTATTCATCAAGTCGAGCTTTTCTTTAGCTGTCTTCCATTGGGCCGCTACCTCGTGTTGGACCAATGTTCGGATTTGCTCCATGGCCTCGCCGTCTTCCACTGTCGCCCCCTCTATCTCACGACAACACCTTATCCACCATATAGTCCACATGACACTCCGTCTGCCTAGACTGAACATGTTTTCCTCGAATGTTTGCCCTTGGATTGGAGGGTAGTATCCCAAGAGAAGGGCCCTCCAATCCCATGGCCAGACCGCGCCAGGGACAATATGACGTCAGATCCTATCCCAGCTTCTCCATAATAGTACTGATGCGGGACATTGGAGGAATATATGTTCGATGGTCTCAACCCTCCTCCTCCCTGGATAACTCAGGAGACATTTATGACACCATGGTAGTGCCTTCCCCTGTTGTTCCGGGCGGGTATGGTCTATCAACCAATCATTGGTTGGTAGACACCTGTGCCTCTATTTGCCACTGGAGTGCGGAGATCTTGGCAGGTCTTTTGTTGTGGTGTGCAAACCACCGGATGGGTTTCAGTAGTCTGCGTTGAGGTGGCGATACGATCTGTCTTCTATGCGGTCACGTAATTTAC